CAATTCTTGGTTGTAAGCCCAAAAGTAGGCTGCGAACCCCGGGGGCACTTGAGGCACGCTTTTGGGCGGATAATAGTGGGTAAAATGTATTGTAAGAGTAATTTATGTGGCATATTTATTTTCGCATCCCACGCATAATGAATGAGCTCCAATAGTTTTATTTTATCGGATCCATGTTTTATGTGTAGAAAATGATTTTTAATTGAGACTTAACTGGGGTATCTCTGGATATTTCAGATACTTGTAGGTAAACTTAAATAACATTTAAATGTTTCGAAGTTGTACAACGTTCTCAAAATCCGTAATAAATAATCACTCAATTTCGCAGCAGCTTAGGCATCGTTTATCCAGGAAAGAAAATATTCATTGGGTACACTTTCCGTGAGTCTTCGTGGACTCTATAATACAACTTTGCTAGACTTATCACAATCTGAAATGACTCTGTCCAAATATGGGCTTGAGACTGGAGGTTTGAGGATCCGAAACAGATTTGAGTTTATTTTTGTGAGCACTTTGGTGGGGATCAGAATGGCAAAGGCTATCGCCGTCTATAGCTATAAGAGGTTCACCAGTTGGCATGTGAGTGAGACGCTGGCCACCATCTGTCAGTGGCCTCATCCGTAGCCCCACACACACACACACTGGCAGACAAGACGAATAACAGACGACACGAAATCGAACAGACGTCGCGACAGATAACGATAATTGATGATGATAGATTAGCATTAATTTTTCAAATAGATTATTCAAACTGCCTAGGGGTCGTGCATAAACCCCGTGGACACTTGATGGTCTCCTCAGTCACTCCTGCGAGAAGTGAAAAAAACAAAAAGCAAAACAGAAATCAGAAATAGCTAAAACAAGTGTCCCCAGTTAATCTTGGGCATGGCCCAGCTACTTGCATCAGTATCAGTGCTGATTGTTGCTTTGTTTTGATGCCAATACCAATTCGGGGCGATAAGGACCACACACACACTGCTCGACAGCCAAACAGATAGACAGACAGAGAGACAAGATCTGCGATCTGGGAACCCAAAAAAATTTCGCAACGTGTGCAAAAAAAACGAAAAGGGACGCGTGAGACGCTTCTTACGCGTCACAACTTGTATACCCGGCACTCAGTAGTACATCTGCACCTTAGCGGTGTTTTTGTCAAATTTTTCATTTTTTTCTTCAACTGTCATCTATGTACATCTACAACACTTCTCAAACCAACACGCTCCTTTAGCTCGCCTCCCTTCCCTAGACCCACACACTGCAGACTGCAAATATAAGCTGCGGGACGGGGTGGGTTCAAATTCGGCAGAGTCAGCGGCAGGGGGAGGGCAGAGGCAGAGGCCGAGTGAAGCAGAAGCAGAGTGTGAATGATAGAATGTAAGAAGAACAACAAAAGCTGCGGTACAAGGTGGGTTTAGCCACTGGAAATTAATTTCTTCATTGTGGCTATAATAATGATCCAATCGGATCCCAATTTGGGGATCTGATAAATATTCCCTACGGAATGGCGTTTTTAGTTTTCCTTTATCTTCAAAATTGTAGGTTCTATCTACTCGGCTATTGATGCTGATCAAGAATATATATACTTTATGGGGTCGGAAACGCTTCCTTCTGTGCATTATATACAACCGCTATTCCACACAAACACAGTATACCCTATTTACTCTTCGAGTAGTCTTCGAGTATCTTCGAGTACCGGGTATAAAACACGAGAAGACGCTTCTTACGCGTCATAACATTTATAGCCTGCACTCAGTACTACATCTGTACCTTAGCGGTGTTTTGTCAAATTTAACATTTTTTCTTCATCTGTCATCTACATCAACAATACTCACGCAAACACGCTCCTTAAGCTCGCCCCCCCCTTACCTAGAGCCAAACACTGCGGAGTCATGGCAGAGGCAGAGACGAGGCAGAGGCAGCGGCCCCACACTGAAAATTCATTTCTTCATTCTGGCTATAATAATGGTACAATCGGATCCCAATTTTGTGATCTGATAGATGTGGTCCTTTCCTACGGAATGGCGTTTAGTTTTCAATTATCTTTAAAATTGTAGCTTTGGGAGGTATTCGCCCTTTTGCGGGGGCGGAAGGGGGCGTGGCTCATTTTTTAAATACATTTGTAAAAGTGTGAGTATACAGAAGTCTGGATGCAAAATTTGGTGGCTCTAGCTTTTATAGTCTCTGAGATCCAGGCGCTCATAAGGACGGACGGACGGACGGACAGACAGACATGGCTCAATCGACTCGGCTATTGATGCTGATCAAGAATATATATACTTTATGGGGTCGGAAACGTTTCCTTCTGTGCGTTACATACAACCGGTATTCACACAAATACAATATACCCTATTTACTCTTTGAGTACCGGGTATAAAAACCCACGGAAACCGAAGCAGCATCCAAGCACAAAGTTTAGAACATTTTTGTGTCCGTGAAAGTGTCTTTTGTTACTGCCACAAAGACTATTCTCTGCCCCAAACAAAAAACCCATTTTTATATAATATTGATTCGTATTGTCGTATTGATTCGTTATCATCCTGTGGCCAGTTGTAAATTGTTTTCAATTTGGAGTTTGAGCCATCCATAAATTATTTAGCTTAATTATAAATAGATAGATTCTAGTAGTACTTAGTCTGGGACAGCATGCGAGTATACAGCCCGAGTGGTGATCGCCAGTCTTGCCCTCACTCTCGCCCTCTCTCTCTCTCTCATTCTCTCTTTTTATACCCGGTACTCGAAGAGTAAAAAGGGTATATTGTATTTGTGCACACAGAAGGAAACGATTCCGACCCCATAAGGTATATATACTCTTGATCAGCATCAATAGCCGAGTCGATTGAGCCATGTCTGTCTGTCCGTCTGTCCGTCTTGTTTGTCGGCTAGTTCTCAGAGACTATAAAAGCTAGAGCCACCAAATTTTGCATCCAGACTTCTATATGCTCACACTGAAACCAGTGTAATTTAAAAATGAGCCACGCCCCCTACCGCACACGAAAAAGGGCGAAAAGCTTCCAAATCTACAATTTTGAAGATAAAAGAAAACTAAAAACGCCATTCCGTAGAAAATGGCCATATCTATCAGATCACAAAATTGGGATTTGATTGGATCATTATTATAGCCACAATGAAAAAAATTAATTTGCAGTGGCTAAACCCATCCTGTCCCGCAGCTTTTGTTGTTTTTTTTTCACATTCTCTCATTCACACTCTGCTTCTGCTTCACTCGGCACCTGCCTCTGCCATCCCTCTGCATCTGCCTCTGCCGACTTTTAACCCACCCCGTCCCGCAGCTTATATTTGTTTTTTTTTTGTGTGTGGGCGCTGTCTCTGCCTCTGCCTCTGCCGCGAGTCTGCAGTGTAGATGTAGATGACAGATGAAGAACAAATTTAAAATTTGACAAAACACCGATAGTTGTAGTACTGAGTGCCGGCTATACAAGTTGTGACGCGTAAGAAGCGTCTCACACGTCCCTTCTCGTTGATTTTGATATTTAAGTGCTGGCCTCTTATCAGTGCCAGTCGCAGTTCCAGTCCCAGCACAGAGACGGGCTATAGAAATGTTCCAATGACGCGATAATAAACAATTATTTGCACGCCGTACGGGCCCCAGCTGCCCGGGCCCCTGGCGACGAACTTTTGCGGATAGCGGGGCCGACACAAGTGGCTCGAACTAGAGAAGGAAGAGAGAAAATGGGAAGGAGAGATAGGGGGGCACAGGCACAGGGCGGGGTCTGTGGCGATGTTTTGATTATACGATCCTAAGTACAGAACGTCAGGCGGAGAGCCAACGAACGAGCGAGCGACTGGCAAAAAGTAAACAGGCGAAAACAAACGATTGTCGAAAGTAAATATATACATACATATATTGATTATTTCACGGATCAAGTTAGCTACTCGATAACTTTCACCACCCTCTCATCCCCCTCGCCGAAGAAGAACACCAATAAAAAACCCCCCTTACCCATTCGGCATGCAGGTGAGCCGGCAGGCATCGATGTGTATCATAAAACATTTGATCGAGCTCCGGCGCCTGCGATCGAATCGATTTGTCATAATGATGCAAGACTTGAGGCAGTCGAGAAGTTTGTGGAGTACACTCGAAAGTCAAGTCAATGTCTAGTTTCTATAGAATTTCTTTGCATTTCAGGAATTTCTTCAGCTGACAACAGCTCCCCCTCTAGGAGGGGCTGCAATTCCATTAAGTGTAATAAATGTAAATGCAAAAGATTGCAGATTCCGAGAACTGCAAACGAACAAAGAACTCGACACGAATTACGAATCGAATCGAGCCGATAAGGCCGAACAATTGATGCCAAGTGCTGACCCAAACTGTTTGACCCACCCACTCAGCCCTCGTACCTTTGGCACAGGCACAGGCCCAGGCCCAGGACCATGATAGCGATCTTCCCTTTGTCTTTGCCCCCTTCCAAGGCAATCGGATGGCAGCTGTTACGCATACGCCTCGTGCGCACCATCCAGACAAGAACCGAGAAGAAAGAAGAGCAAACCTGGCCACAGAGAGCGAGAGAGCGAGGGAGCGAGAGAGAGCTCGGGCCACGAGCCGAGCAATGGGCCGATTGAATTTCGGTTCGACACATGAAGAAACTATAAGGAGGTCTCGTCGGCAATACTAAGAAATTCGGGCGAGTGAAAAGTGTGAGTGAAAGGGCTCTCGCTGTAAGTGTGAGGGCAACGACAATTGCTGGAGTGTGCTTATTAATCATTTGAAGGCAATGTGAAAAAACATAATAATTGTTTCATAATTTAATTTAATAGTTTGCTACATGATAGTAGTCTGTGTTTTGAAAAAAATAAACATTTTGAAAAAATGTCGACAAGCAAACGAGCACTGACTGTAAGAAAAATCAGCGAGTAACTCTGCCACCGACGAGGCCTCCTTATAGTTTCTTCATGGTTCGACAGCTCCAAGATCAGCTCCAAACGGCTGACAACACTTGTCTTTTCATTTGGGTTGGGGCGAGCGAGCGAGCGTCACGTTAGCTCTTGGCATTAACCGTTCATACACACACTTCGCGACGAGTGTTGAGTTTTTCCGCTGTTTCGCTGTTTTGTTTTTCTTCTTATTTGCATTATTTTTTTGTTGTTTTGTGTGTGCTTTTCTCTGTTTCTGTTGGATCAGAACTTATCAGATCAGATCATCATCTGCGCCGTAGAGCAGCTTCGACGATCAGTTCCGTGTGAGATCGCTAAACAAAAAGCAACGCGATCGCGACAACAAGCCGCACTCGACGCTTTCCAAGTGATCCGCACAGAAGAAGGCCCAGCCCAGCCATGGAGGTGTACACGTCGGACAGCTCGGACACGGATTCACGCGAGCAAAAGACCATCGATTTTGGTCGCATGAGTCTCGATCTGGGCACGCTTGAGGATCACCTGACATCGCCGCACAAGGCGATGCTCAAGTCCAGCGGTGACATCGAGACGATGCTGCTCAACCACAATCGACTGGTGGGCCTGCCCCGTGTGCTGCAGCAGTTTGCCAACCTCAAGGTGCTGGATCTCAGCTCCAATGCGATCACCCAGCTGCCGGACGCCGTCTGCCAGCTGCCGCTGGTTACACTGATTGCCAAGAACAATCTGCTGACCAACTGCTCGCTGCCCAAGTCGCTGCTGGCCAAGCAGGCTGGCGTCGGTGGATATGGCCACGGACACAGCACCCTCAAGGAACTCAACCTGAGCGGCAATCAGCTGACCCATTTCCCCGAGCAGGTCACCGAGCTGCGTCACCTCAAGTATCTGTATGTGGGCGGTAACAAGATCACGGGCATCTCAAAGGACATTTGGAAGATGCAAAGGTAAATGTAAAGGCCATAGAACATAGACCATAGACCATAGAGCACGCGCGTGTGATCGCCTGTTGCCAGGCGTCTGGCCTGTCCAGGGGAAAAAGTAAAAAACAACTAGTACAAGTACCGCTCTGCCCTGCCCTGTCCGTCCGTCTGTCCATTTATTCTGTGTATGAGAACTGATAACAAACAGCCCGCGAGAGACCCAAAGCACTTGTGAGTGGAGTGGTGTGGCATGGAGTGGAGAAGTGGGGTAACTGGTGGCTATGGGCATCGTAAATTCCAAATCTATCGAAAAACACGTACTCGACTCGGACTCAAATGATTTCGATTTGCTCGAATGCCCTAAAGATACGGTCCGCCGTATATTAATACAATAATAATAAACAAACAAAAAAAAGAGCAAGCAGCAACAACATCTCCATAATATCAATGTTATGTGGGTTAGGAGGGGGTTACTTTATGGGAACAAAGGGAAGAGGTGACGCAAGAGGAGCCATACCATGGTATGGGCTGCAGACATGGAAGATCTTTTCTTTGTCTAAAACAAGGAGAGAGATGCGTTTGCCTTCACCTTTTATAAATATACTTTGCATTCCCTCTCTTTCTCTCTTAATCAGTCTGTCTATCTATCTGTATGTTTCTCTCTCTATCATTCGCGTTGTGCAGTGTTGAAATCGATACGTTATGCGACAGTTTACCATTTGTTTACACTGACAAAAACATAACTTGTTTGCTTGAATTTCCTATGTTCAGAATCAGATCGAATCGATTAAAGATCGTTGAGAGATAATATTGATGAAAGGAATAGGAATCTCTTCATAGATTGATTACTCTAATTACCACCCATTAATAATTATTTTTCCTCTTTTTACTCTACAGTCTTCATGTGCTGTCGTTGGGCGGCAACCTTATCAGCGAGGTGCCCGATGCTGTTGGTTCACTCAGCCAGCTGCAAGCACTCGTCCTGTGCGACAATCTCATCGAGAATCTTCCGATGAGCATTGCCCGGCTGAAGAACCTCAAGTCGCTGCTGCTGCACAAGAACCGTCTGCGCCACTTGCCCAAGGACATTGTGGCCCTGAAGAACCTCACGGAGGTAGGTCCACAATCCATCATATATCACAGACCTAAACTGAAGCCTTTTGTCGTTCCACCAACAGTTGAGCCTGCGTGACAATCCGCTGGTGGTGCGCTTCGTACAGGACATGGCATTGAAGCCACCAACTTTGCTGGAGCTTGCTGGGCGCATTGTGAAGGCGAGTGGCCAGCGGCCCGGACCCTATGACATACCCCGAACCCTGGCCGAGTATCTGAACAGCGCCAACTGCTGTGTGAATCCCAACTGCAAGGGCGTGTTCTTCGACAATCGCGTGGAGCACATCAAGTTCGTGGACTTTTGCGGCAAGTATCGCGTACCGCTGCTGCAGTACCTTTGCTCATCGAAGTGCATCGAGCATGAGGAACCGGCACGTGGCTCCAGTGCGAGCAGCAGCGCCGCGAGCAGTGCCAATAGCGGGTTCATGATGCGCAAGGTGCTGCTGGGCTAGGCCGTGCGTTCGGCCCCCCGCCCGCCTGGCCCCTGGCCTGGACCTGGCCCTGGCTGGCAGCAGGAGTGCCATCGGAGCGTCGTCGGTGGCTGGCATCGACCGGATATCGATATCGGAGACGAAGATCCATTCGTTTATAGGTCGCGACCCAATGCCACCAACTCCAGCTCCAGCTCACTGGCACTGGCACTGGCACTGGTTCTGGTTCTGGCTCTGGAGTTTGGCGGCCGCTTGGGCCGGCCCGCGTCCCACTGGCTCACTGGCATCCCATTGGCTTCATCAATCGTTAACGAGTAATCGTTCGCTTTGTCGTTCTTGTTGTTATTCTTCTTTGCCTGCACGTTTGTTTGCTGTTTGCTTCCACCTCTTACCACCCAACCCCTCTATCCCCAACCGCAGATACCGCACATACTACTGTATAAACCATCAAATACCAACAAAAACTATCAACAGAAATATTCCATTCATTTTGGAGGGTCTTTTGTGGGCGAGCTTCAGCTGAAAGTTCCCATAACTTCACCGATTGAAGGAACATTTGCTTGCAGTTAATGTAACCCGTCATGCGGCAGTGCCCCTCTGCTGTATTCTATATTGTGTATAGATAGTTTATTTTGTGATCAAACCGCTCAAAACATCCACGGCTCGTGACATGAAGCACAGTTAAAAATGTCTGGATTGCCAGAGATTACCAGAGAATGATTGTAAAAAAGGGAACTGGGCACAGGACACAAACACATAAATGGAAAGATGATGGTGTGGTGGATGGGTGTCGTGAAATACATACCAAATATCTACGCATATCGCAACAGAATATTGGTCTAAGAAGTATACATTGACGAGGATCGACGAGTGAGACGCTTCTTACGCGTCACTACTTTTATACCCGGTACTCAGTGGGACATCAGCACATAAGCGCTCTTTTAGCTCGCCCCCCTAACCTAGAGCAGCACACTGCACGAAGCAGACTGTGGAATGAAAGAATGTGCAAAACAATAAAAAAGCTGCAAGGGGTGGGGGCTAGCCACTGAATGTCGTTATTCTTGCTATAACCATGATCCAATCGGATCCCTATTCATCGATCTGATAGATATGGATATTCTCTACGGAATTGCGTTTTTACTTTTCTCTTATCTTTAAAATTGTGGCTGTGGGAGATTTTCGCTCTTTGTGGGGGCGGGGCAATATACCCTATTTACTCTACGAGTACCGGGTATAAAAAGTACACAAAAATACAAAAACGGTCAGTGATTAAGTGAGCCGTGAGTCACGAGTGTTCTGTTACACATGATAGGAGGAGTAGAACGAGGATGAATATGAGATGAAGGAGGGGAATGGGGAATGGAATGATCGTCGGTGTCTAGTATTGGTTTTCAAGAAAATCAACTACTTGTGGCCCTTTAACTTTCCACTTACAACTATATGGAGGATATTGGCGAATATCTTCTATTTGAGCGACTGAGGGGAAGTGGCTGAGATGATTGATATGGGATCTGGGATGTGGCATGTGTTAGGTGCTGTCTTATATTGCTAATTATGTATATGGATTAGTATGTTGTTATGTTGTTATTAGTCGCTTGGAATTGGCATGGTTTACTGGTCCATCACCTCCTGGCTGGTGTCGTCCACCTCCATGGCGGCCATATCGTCCTTGGCGGCGGCTGCGTCCTCGGTAACCATTTCGGCGACAGCTGATGGAGCTTCCTCGGACATTACCACCTCCTCCCCGTCGGCTGCCCCAGATGCTGCTGCTGTCTCCTCATCGGCCGATGTGTCCTCCATCGGTTGATCGTTCAACGCGAGTGCTGGAGGAGTGGCAGCTGTGGCTGCCTCCTTGGTGACTTCTGGCGGTGTTGGTGCAGGCTCATCGTCAGCTATGGCTGGGGAGAGAGATTTCGGTGCGGCCTCATCTTCCTCAGCATCGGCATCGCCCTCAGCTGGATCAGCTTGATCAGTGGCATCAGAGGGCTCCACGGGCTCTTTGTCAGAAGCTTCAGAAGCTTTCTCGGCAGTCTTGTCGGCCTTTTTCTTATTATCGACGGCCTCCGATGAGGATGGTTCGGCAGTGGCCAGCGGCTGCTTCTTGCTAGCGGCCGATTCGGTCTCAGTCTTTTCAGTGTTCCGCTCCTTGGCGTCAGCGGTTGCGTCGACGGCGTCAGTGGCTTTGCCGGCCTTCCCGGTCGGTGATGCCTTCTTTGCCGATGCTGGTTTGTGTTCCGGTGTGGCAGCCTTTTTCGGCTGTCCCTCTTTCTTGTCCTTTCTAGTGGGTGTAGATGCGGATGTTGACTCTTTGTCCGCAACTTTATCAACGATCTCCTTTTCGGCCTTGGCGTTGGCATGGGCTTCGCCCTTTTTACCATCAGCTAGCCCATCCCCCTCATCGGTGGCAGACTTGGTCTTTGGCTCGACTCTCTTGCCCGTCTTCTCCGCCCTTTCGATCTCCTGCTTCTCAATGATCTTCTCCGGCTGCGGATCGACAGCATCACCGACTTCGGCTAGGGCATCGGCATCCTCGTCCTCCTTCTCATCGGCAGTTTCTTTGACGGTTGCCTCTGGCGATAGGCCGGCGTCTTCGTCGTCGTCATCGTCTGGGCCACCAGTGGGATCACTTTCGGGAGAGGCTTCCTCATCATCGTCGTGCTCATGCTCCTGCCCCTGCTTTTGTTTGGTGCCATTGAGAGCCTGCTTTTCAGTCTTCGCATCATCCTCATCATCCTCTTCGGGCTCTTCGATCTCGGCTGCCTCCTGGGCTGCATCAGGATCGGCATCAGTCTCGTCCTCGTCGTTCTTATCATCATCCTCGTCGGCGTCTTCCTCGGCGTCCTCGGATTTGGCTTTGGTGGCCTGCTCGGACTCACCGGCCTCGGCCTCATCCTCATCTTCAGCGACTGCGTCGGCCCCATCTCCCTCGAACTCCAGCTTGGCCTTCTTCGCCTTGGGCTGTATGGCACCCCCGTCCGAGCGCGGGCAACTAGCCTTGGCAGCACCTCCTCCAACGCCACCGCCAACGCCACCACCACCCCCACTGCAGCCCTCACCACCGGCCTTGCCGTTATTGAAGTGACCCGCCGCCGCCGCCTCGTTCTCCATTTCAATGTCAATGTTGACTTCCAACGAGAGATCACCATTCACCACAGAGTCCAGGGAGTCGCCGTTCTCGCTCTCCGTACGCTTACGTCCCGGATCAATGGTGCTGACCACTGCAATGGGAGGGCGGCAGGATGGGGATTAGAGTCAGAGAACGCTTATCGGTATCACACACACTTACCCAGTATATTCTTCTCCAGGGCACGCATAAACTTATCGATGCGCGAGTACTGCTTCCGAGGATCGATGAGCAGCTCACAGAGTCGCTGCACGGTGAAGGGAGCCGCATTGAACAGATCGAGTCTCTCCAGAAGCGACGATTTCATGGTCTCGTAATTGAAGGGATCCACATTCGGATAGTTTGGTATCTCTGTTAACAGCAACAACAACGACAACAAACAGGGAAATTGATTATGTGAGGGCCACTGGGCATCAATAGGATTGTGTTACCTTCAAGCCGTGGTGAGTCCTCATTGAAGTGCTTGATCACGCTGAGCAGCTTCTCACGGAACAGATACTTGAGGCTGGCCCACTTGAAGACGGTGTCCCCGGTCTTGGCCACATACTGCAGATAGTCCTCCAGCTCCTTGGGTATCTCCTTCTGCTTGAGGCGTGTAAAACGCTCCAGAATTTGTAGAATCTCCTCGCTGTTCTCCATAGTGACCATCAAATTATTGAAGGGGCAAGAACTGCAATAATTCGCGAACTCGATAAAACTGCAGATGAAAAACAGGCCGGCTGGAAAATTTTTCTCGCATTGAGGTAGACACACAAAAATCCGACACCAAAAACCGAATTGACTGGAGTCGCAGTCCGAGTTGAGTCGGGCCCGAGTGGAGTCGAGGGTTTTTTTTTTGCGATTCAGATGCCGGTGTGTAGGTATGCGCCGAATCAGCGGCTGCCTCAATGGTGGCGGCGCCGGTTGTGGCAGGCAGCAACAGAGAGCCAAGCTCAACCGACCGTCGGACCGTTGACAGAAGAGACTCGACTAACTCTCCCTTCAGAGCATCTGCATCTCATTCGGAAGCATTGAGTGGAGGAGTGGAGGACTCTTCGTATACAAACAAGTTATGCCGCCGCACTAACACATACGCACACACAAACAAGTAAACACAGGCAGATACATGCACATGTATGCTGCAAAAAAAAAAACGGCAAACCCTGTCGTCTGAGTACGAACGAGCGTGTTTGCATTGGCAACTGCCTTCATTCCTTTTTTTTGTTTGCACATTTTCCGCTTGTTGCAGTTATTATTTTTGGCATCGTTTCTGTTTGAGCTTCTGGTCGGTCTGTCGGCAAGGCCGACACTTATCTGCTGTAGAGCTTGGAACATCTTTTTCACTCGCACCGGTATCCAAAAAGTGCATTTGTCGTTAATCTTCTTACCTGCTCTAGCTTGGCCGCTGCTGTTTTTTTTTATCACAGAAAATTAGAATCCCCAAAACGAAAAGTTAGGTTGGCATCAGTGTGACCGCGGCATTAACGACAAAACATACCGACAGACGCTCGGAAATATACCAAAAAATATACCCTTCCTTTTTCAAAATATACTGTAAATATACCGTAAATCTAAAATAATTTTCCACGACTTTGATGTTCTATTTAATATTACCAGCTAGTTAGGATTTTCAGCGCTAAAACTATAGTTTTATCAAAATCATCAATCAATATTACACAAGATTGGCTGATTTTTAAGACTTCAACTTATTGGATTGTTTGCAAAATTGTTACAAACCTGTTTTGGTGTTGGGCCAAGGCCGGCTAGCCAGTCATCCCAGGGCTGAGTTCTTCCCAGGCCCCCAGGTCGCACAACAAACCAACTGTTCGAACATCTCGAACAAATACCAAAAACAAACGTTAATTCAAAAACAATGCAACGGACTTTACTCTACATCTAACGGATAATCATCTCTTCGACACAGACGTGGACAAGTTTGAGGTGCCGATGGTCTACCTCGGGCATACTCTACTTCAGATCCGACTCAAAACAACTACGAATCTCCTTTCCCAAGTGCGGAAAAGGTTAGCTTGATATATCGCATGGCATTTTTTGTTTGAGATGTCAGTTTTTTCCTGTCAAAGACTGACAGCCAAATTAAGGCTTTGGCTTCATTATAATTGTCGAAAAAATCACTATATTCTTGGTACACAGCTGTGTAGGCAGTCTTTGCAGTGGATTTAGTAACATCATTATGCAAGGTCGGGTTTAGAGACTTTACTTTCAGTAGTTCTTTGACTGTGAGAATTTTAGCTCTGTGTTTGGGAGTTAAAATACCAGCCAGAGCAAAAATTTAGATGCGTAAATGTTTTTGAAGGGACACCCACGCAACGGCGAAGGTCGTTAAGTGTTAACAGACTGGCTGTTGCTAATGTTTAGATTCGAAAAACTAGTAATTCAATGTTCCTGCTGAAATCTGATGAAGGATTTGAAGATGTTGGACGCTTTGATGGTGGTTACAGCATGCAACAAAAGCTCACTTTTGTCTGATTTGTCCCTGATTTTTGCAATATGCAATTTGTTTGACATGTTGGCATAGGTGACATAGTCACCAAAGCAGGTGTTTCTGGCGTTAAAATCCCTAGCAAAAATCACATTGCTCCTGCCGTCCAGTTTTTCAACTATGGTTGGAATAGCTTTTTGAAAGGTGTTAGTCTTCATGGAGGGTTCAAAGTATACTGAGACAATGGTGAAATTTTTATTGAGTTTGGATGGCTTGGCGATAATAACATCGTTCTCTGAACTGAACTTCCTTTTTAAGATTAATACCATTTTTAACAGCAATGGCTTCACCTCCGTAGCCATCATCTCTATGTTTTTCAAATACATCGATAGATAGGTAGTAGTTGATTAGATTTCTGTATGACATGTCTTGGGAGAAAACTTCTGAGAAGATGGCTATGCCATATCTACCAGAGTTCAGGGTGTATTCAATGTCATTTTTGTTGTTGTTGAGTGATTATTGTACATTAAGCTGTAAAATCTTAATGGACATGTAGTGATTGAGGTTTGTATTGTTACCAACATCATGTTTTCTATGTGTTCTACAGTGCGTTGAACCACTCTGCTTCTATATTAATTTTTTTTTTAATATCTGGTTGGCTTGTTCGTTATTGCTTATAACTTGCGGTATTTGCTCACATGAATTGTTGTTGTTGTTGTTATTTTTATGTATCATTTGAGGAAAGTTTTTGTCATAGTCTAGAATCTGATCATAGTTTTGTTGAAAGGAAAATTGCTTTAGGGCTTCCTTTCTTTCCAGTTTCTTAATGGCCATGATTTTATTCATGTCGCCTTCTCTGGCCCACACCTGACACTTGTTCCTCTCAAACGCATTGTGCCCATCACCTTGACATAAGATGCACTTGTTGGTATTGCAATTTTCGTTGCACGTGTTATTGCCACATTTCTTGCATCGATTTTGTGACTCACAACGCGAGGCTGTATGACCCTAGCGACCCAAGTAACCTTTAGCGAGCAAATGTCATAAATTTGAATGGACGATGGAATTTCTGTACCCGCAAAAGCAATTTTAACTGTCTCTTTTGGGATGAGCACTGATTCCTTAACTTTGTTCTTTGTTTTCCTAAAAATTCGTTCAACTGGATTTATCTTTATTATTGAATTACGATTGTCAAGCAATTTCATGTCTGAGATTTTTTGTTGGAAAAGCCCTGATGACACCCACAGACTCAGTGACATTTTTTGGAATAAATAAATCGATGTTTAATTTTTTAAATTCATCGTTTAGAACCATCTCATTGGCTTCATAAGGGCCACAATTAAATAATTAATTTATCTAATTTTTTCAAATAGGTATAGGTCGCTTTTATTATTTTTGTTTTCGAACAAATTCCTTCTTTTGGTCGATAGAAGTACACTGTATGGCTTATCCTTTGAATGAGTGCTCATACAAATTAATCTCCCTTCGTATGTTATCGTTTGTTTGCACATCTATACCGACATATGCATTAGTATTGGTGTTGTTGACGGAGACAGGAACATTCTTGTCCAAATCGGCCTCCATTTTGTTTGTAGGTAGAATTTTATTTTCGCCTTTCATTTCATTATTAGATTCTGCCAGAAATCTTTTTGAATCAATTTTTCTGTCTGAAACGGACTCAGACAAACGTCTAGCCCCTGACGCCAACAGCTTGGCGTCAGCCATCTTCACTGGTGGCTTCACCAGCCTGCCAACGACTAACCATCTTCGTTTATTTACAAATAGCTAAAGTCGCGCACAAAAAGAAAACTTGTTGGACAAAAAAGCAGGCCGATTAAATCTAGAAAGTCAGCTGATAGTATTTTGTGGTTTTGATAGTATTTGTGTGGTATTGATAGTATTTGTGTGATATTCGTTGGTATGTTGCAAGCAGCTCGACAAATATAGATTTGTTTTATATTCCGAAAGGGTACCTAGCAAACAGAGAGTAAAGTCTCAATCAAATGGAGGCAACAATGCAGCTGAAGTTGAAAGACCGTGCTTCTAAACGAGCTTCAGGTCATCAAACGGCAAAAAAGGTAAAAATTATTATAGATTAATGAGATTATATTGATTTTATTTGCATTTTTAGTTTGTTTAACTTATTTGAGTGTATCTTCATGTTGCCAAGACAGACCCGGCAGGGCTGTTAACAAAATATTTTAAGTTGTTTTCCTTTCGAACAAAGTACTACTTCACAGGGTCGTGCCAAGGGTCGATGGCGCCGTTTTACAACTTTGCAACGGGCAACAGGTTTCCATAAATGAACACATATTTATATGATTTATAATACTCAAATGTATAGACAACGACCGTCCTGGTTTCTTCCCTGCAGATATGTTGATTTCGTTGATTGTCCTCCTCCTCCTATCATGCAAGAGCCGCCAGTCTTTTATTCAATTTTCACACATTTTCAAAAAGGTAAACAAAATAACACAGCTGCCTGAGAAGTGTAACCGTACGGAATGCGGTTTTCACCTCTGGTCGCACTCTGCTGCTAGCATAATATATTGCACATTTTGCTAGGAAAGTTCTTTTTCGATCTGAGTACTAGCCTTAAATGGTCACCCTGATCAGAATCCCTAAAACTTAGATTGGCATTAGTGTGACCGTGTATTTATGAATAATTTGTGCAGCCCAACCAACAGATAAATACCGAAATATATACCATTAACTTAATATCTATGACAAAACTTCCCGAAACGGGCGGCCACCCTGGTTGAGTGGGTATGTAGACAATACATTGTAGAGCTCCCAAGCCATCTCTAGCAATATATTTGCACTACAAGTGTGAGTGTTAAATATCGCCATCTCAAATTGCGAAGACAATCTAGGGGATAAACACGGAATAAACGCCATTAAACGCACAGCATTGAGAAAATATCATGAATCAAGGGAAAGATCCAGGATTTTTCATGTCTTTGATGCCTCTAACGAAGTTTCTATTGTAATATTGGACTTAAATTGAGACAAAGGCCATCGAAATAATCGAATTATAATCAGTTAATGAGAAAATTCTATTCACCAAACATCGAAATATTGCAATGAATAATATTATTTCTGAAGGTAAAAGAGCACGAAAGTAAAGCAAATCCACAATGTTCGCTGCAGACAGGGAGCGGTTATAAGAGAAATTAATGCTAGATACTTCGTTTGTAGTAGATCCATTTGCCTCAGTGAGACTTCAGCCGTAAGGACTGAGGCAGTAGAGGGCCCCCTGGGCTCTTTCTGTAGCGTGGTTTACACACACTGGACACACGGATCGCAACACAGAGAACAAAATCAAATGAAATTTCTTATGGACTGCTACTAGTATTAGTTTGTGTCGTTTATTTAGTGCATTGTTTAGTGGACTAACTAGGCTAGAACTAGGCTTTAGGCGTGCGGCTTGAACTGCGGATTGTGGGAGCGGGCCATCTTGGCGGTGAGCCACTCCTCCGCATGCCGCTGCTTAATGTGCACGTACATGTTGGACCGAGAGCGGCACTCCTTGGGGCAGTGCGGACAGTTGTACAGCTGGAGGCCCGTGTGGATGGCCAGATGCTCGTCCAGGTTGCGCTGCTGCTTAAAGGTCTTCTCGCAGTATGTACACTGGAAGCTGGTCGTCAGCTTGTGGGCATATTTGATGTGTGCGCGAAGAGCCGTTCTCGAGTTGCACGTCTTCGAGCAGTGCGGACAGGCCGTGTTGGTGCTGTCGTGGGTGAAGCGATGCAGCCGCAGACTGTGCTCGTTCTTCAGCCAGACACCGCAGACGGGGCACTGCATGGTCGGTGCCACCACGCCCTGATGCTCGCGCAAATGACGCTCGAACGATGGCTTAAACTTGAACTTCTTGCCGCAGATGTCGCACACATGCCGGTGCAGATCCTCGTGTATGGACTGAATGTGCCTGCGCAGCCGATGGACATTGGCAAAGCTGTTTGTCGCATCAAATAAAAAGAGAAGAAAAACGCAGGGATGAACGAATTAGAATGCTATCTCACTCTCACTGCGGAGAGGGTTTTGTGGCTGTGAGGCTTACTTTTTATGGCACATGGGGCAGGTGTGCTCGAGTGTCTCCGTGTCGTGCTTAGCGAGATGATTAGCCAGGCGTCGCTCGCTGCTGAAGGTGCGCTCGCACTTGGAGCAGGGGAACTGCAGCAATTTGTCAATCTTATCCACTTTGTTGTGCACCGTCTCGATGTGGGTGGCCAGATAGTCCTGCGAATTGAGCGTCTTCTGGCAGATAGAGCAGCTGTTGCAGGGACAAAGAATGAGATAAATACATCGTGCATTCCGTTCATTGCCGGCTGTACTCACGTGAATAGCTTGGGATTGAGGTGCTTGCGTATGTGGTCCATCAGTTTGGAAGCGCGTGTGAAGACCTTGTTGCAGCACTTGATGTAGAACTCACGCTGATGGACCTCCAGGAAGTGAACCTTCAGCTCGGACAGATACTTGGCACTGAAGTCGCACAGGTCACAGTCGGCATTCATGTAGCTGGCAATCACTTCCTCGTATCGCTTGGCCAGCTGGGCCCGCGAGCAGCCCTTGGGCTTGCGCTCGAGCGCTGCCTGCAGCTCGCTTTCCTGCACCTCCGTGGGTATGCGCTGGCCAGGTGCCTTCTTGCGACGCCCTTTGCTGCCAGCGCCCCGCCCAAGCATGTACTTCAGCTCCTGCGCTTCGAGCGAACATTTTTCTTCTCGTGTCTTTGTAGTGCGCGCGTGGGACTTGCGCTTGGGCTTTAGCTTGCTCTGCAGCTTGACCAGCGGCTCGTCTGCAAAAGGGAACGAGCGCATTAATTTATTACATGAGAACATTACTTTGGGAGGGGGGAGGGAAAGCCATCAGGCACTTGCCGTCAGATGTGCCTTCTTCGGGGACTGCATCGCACTCGAATTCGGTGTCAGAAGGCTCGAGATGGAATGGATGGTCGTCTTCCTCGGACAGGTAGTCAGTTGGCTGAATTTTTATATCCACTGGCGGCGCCTGTGGCACCACCACACTGTCCACGTTAACGTCCAGAACACTGCCCAAGAGGCTGAGGTTGTGCATATCGAGGGGCTTCTCATCCATTTCTGTTGCCACCAGCGGCAACTCGTCAATGTTGATGTCCGCGTCTACCTCGCCCGTCCACTTCATAGCCACACAGTCCACGTCGACGGTAAGGAACTCCTTTTTGAGAGTTCCCTGCTTCTGTTCCACCAGCTGCCAGAAGGTGTTGAAGTCCTCCAGATGCTCGCAGCACTCGGTGCAAACATTCGTCGAGATGCTGTCGTCGGGCGTGATCTGAAATAGAGGCATTGGTCAGGAAAATTTGCATTCGATCGTCCCTTCGATCCACTTGCCTCCAGCTGCAGGAATTTGGCAATCATCTTGACCAGAGTCGTCTCCGCCAGCGTCTCATTTGTTTCAAAGAGAAAAACGGCATTGCTGGGATTTATGTTGCGCAGGCATAATCTGCAAATCATCTTTGTTGGCAATATACAACAAGCTAATTGCACTTTTTAGTTGCTGCTGTTCCTGTAAACAACATAATTAGCGATGTAATTTTAAATTAGAGATGGAAGCTCAGATCCAGCCAATTGTGGGTGGGAAGTCCAGGCATGGCGGTACGGCAACGCCAGTTTGGTATTTTTATTGTACTATTATTACTCAATCCCCCTCACTCCCCCGCAGATACTAAAACAAACGAAATAATATATTAGATCGTGAATACTCAAGCAATTCACCCAGCAAGGCGAAATATTTTTCGAAGTGCAGATCGATAGCGATGAGTTTGCACATACTTCGATAGTTCATGCAGGTTCAGTCATTTATGGTATGGCAACGCCCGCCGCAAAATGGCAAAAAAATAATACATACGATTTAAAACTAATGGACAATTACGTATTACGTGAAAAGAACGCAACATAAATAATCAAAAGTTAAGCGAAAAGCAGCCTAGTGCAATCAGGCGCCAATTAATAGAGCGTGCGTGCGTGTGTGTTGAAACACCAATAAATAGGCATAAGAAAAGTGATTCAAGCGAGTATCCCGAACACTTTGGGCCTCCTCTGATTCGATACCATTTTCCCCAACCCAACCATACACTTGCAAAAAAAGCGACAGCGACCCATTGCCGAACAGTAGGGGGAGCAAGAGAGCGAAAGAGAGAGTGAGTGCGCTGACAAAGCCAGTCCACAGCCAGCGCAACACAACGAACGTGCAAAGAAGAAGGACATAGCGAAACGAAGCCGAGAAGAAACAGAAATTCGACTAAACTAAACCAATTCCGAAAAGAATCGAACATTTTGTCAACGCCAGCCGCCTGGCGCGTTTTGTGATTTAAACAAAGGCGTCCAGCGAAACGTGTTTGCACTGAAAAGCATTTCGTTTCGTTGCGCATTTGTCTTCATTTTTTGTGCAACCTACACGGCAGGGGCTGAGTAAGCGCCAGAAAGAGTGCAAAAAAAGGAGCCAAGGAGCAACGAACTGTGTTTGCGGTGTGTGCGCTGCGTGTAAAAGGGTAAGCTCTATGTGCCAACTGCCTCGTTCTCTCATACTCGCGTACGCGTATGCGTTTTATTGCTGCTGTCAATTTTCGCACGGGCTGAAAACCCTGAAAATATGGTTGTCAGCTCGTCGGTGAAATTTGGTGGGTCCGTTCTCCTCTCATGTTTTCGCCCAAACCAATGGCCCAACACGCATTAAATGTGTGGGAAAAACAAATGTGTGCAGACGTTTTATTGAATATACTGTATGCGACAAAGCAGCGATATTCTCCTGTTATCTCGCTCTCTCCCACAGAGTGGTCCGGCGTTGCAGTTTTCGGCGGTGCCGTAGTTTTACGCCGTATTGATTCTATTGAGCATGCTGTGTGTGACATTTGAGTAATTTGTGAACTATTTGCAAACTAATTAAGGTCCGTCAGGAGCGTTGCTATCAAATCATTTATTAATTTGCCAGGTGCATAACTCTACTGTCAATCCGGCTCGATTTTTCTCAGACGACATGGCAACGCTGCTCACACGCACGCAATACATGCGAATTTTGTAGAAGTGTGAAACTGAGGAGGAAGAAGCACACGGAGAAGAAGAAGCAGCGGCAAACTTCATGTTGGATGGTGGAAAGCAAACTGAAACTTTTTAAACTGAAGTAAAATAGAGAGTTTGATAAATACTTAACAAAGATTGGTCAAATTGACTACTAAAGTAAAAAAATAAGTGAAAACAAACATATTTTCTGCATTTTTTTTTCTCCTTTCATCCCTGCCTCTTTCGGTCTAACAAACCAAACGCAAAGTGCTGTGTGCGTCCGTCTGTGTAAGTGCGGTATTTATGCGGTACTTTTAAGAATGTGTTTAACCACTGTTTTGCCTATTTTTCTCGCCGTCTGCGTAGGAAAGTTTCATTAAAATACTTAAAGCAATGTAAAAAACAAAATTTAAACACTACATAGAGCGATTAAATAATAACTAACAAAAGCCGCCCTCAGCTCGTACTCGTCTCACTCAATTGCTGGGAGTGTGTGTGAGAGCGTGTACGTGTTTGTGTGTGTGTGTTCGCGTGCATTAGTGTCTCCGCTTATGAATGGTTGTTGTTATTACAAAAAGAATTGTTGCCAAGCATTTTATTGTTTCATATGCACATATGTACATACATACATCCCCTGTCCCCGCCGGGTCCACACCGCGCAAAAGCAACAAACTAAAAAATGCATACAATTCAATTGTTTGCTACTTTTTATATTTGTCTATTGTTGCATTTGGGGAGAACTTGAATTGCTGTTGTTGTCAGCCATTGTTCGTTCGTTCTGCAGCCCCCCTCTCCAGCTAGCAATTATTACAAGACGCCACCGCAAATACTTCTTTCCAATGCGTTGCCGCTTTGTGTGTGTGTGTGTGGTGTGTGGGCAGCAATCAAAGAGAGCACTTTATACAGCCGTCCCGCTCTGCCTGCCGCAATGCCTTGGGCAGACTCGTTTGCGTGTGCTTTTAATGAGACTGGCGCTAGCCTGCTCACACCAAACATTCGTTTTTAAGAAGAGGTGCGAGAGGGTGGCATCTCGGCATCTGTGAGTGCAATGCATTGCCTGAGAGCGTTGGGGGTGGGTGGATGTGAAGATAATGGTTTGTCCACCAAAACAAGAGCAACAATGGAAAAATTGCAGTAAACAAATTGTGTCCTAAAACTCTCCCTTTTTCGTTCTTTCTCTCTCTTTCTCTCTCTCTATGCCTCTTGCAGCTCACCATAAAGACTGAAGAAAGAAGATTGCCCAATCAACGATCCCCAAAGGTAAGACAGAAAGGGAGATATTACATATATATTGAGAGAGAGAGAACGAGAGCTTGAGCACTAGCACTAGCAACAACAACGACAAAGAAGAGAGAGATAAATCCACATCCACATTGAGATCCAGATCCCATCCAGCGCATTGAGAGAGCGAGGAACGCGGCGGCGGCGTCAAGGAAGCTAACGCTAATGAGGATCTATTGGCAGCATGAGTACACTGGGGGGAAGTAGGGGAGAGCGAAATGCCAAGCCCAAATTCACAGCGTTGGATATAAATCGCATGTACAAGAATAGTCGTGTAAGTAAAATATTGTATAAATATATGAAAACTATATCCCCACGTCCTATCCATATTTTTACGTATGTGCTGATTCCATGACTTCCTTCTGACTCTTTTTTTCGCAGGGTGAATCGAGTGAACCATCAGCACAGAAGAATCAAGTGCCTCGTAAACATGGAATGCAAATCTTGGGCAAAGTGCCGTCCGCTAGGCGACCACCAGCCAATCTGCCATCCCTGAAGGCCGAGACCAATACCAGCAGCAACAACAATTTCCTAGTCTCAGTCGAAGGTGAGTCCACCAGCATAATCTTCATTATCAAATGTATCCCCTATATGTATGTATATTCCATCCCCCCACTTCAATAACAGCAGGATCTGGCTCAGCAGGAGGATCGAATAATAGCCACAACAACACCACTGCCCATAGCGGAGTAGGAGGAGCAGGCGCTGCAGGTAACGGCGGTGGAGGAGCAGCTGGATGCGGTGGAACCTCATCGTCGCCTGGCGTAGGAGGAGGTTCACAGCAACAGCAGCAACAACTGCAGCAGCAGCATCACCACCACCACCACAACAACAACGTCTCAACGAGTGCCGGCAATAAATTCGGCGGCAACAGCAATAGTAGCAGTAGCAACAGCAACAACAACGCCACATCCGGGAGCGGCAACAACAGTGCCTCTGGGCATAGCCACACCCACAGCGGAGGCGGCAGTGGCACCGGCACCGGCACCGGCACTGGTCCCAGTAACATCAACAAAAACTACAAACTCATCAACAACTCGACAGGCGGAGCAGGCGGCAGCGGAGGAGGATCCGCACTCGGAGGCGGCGGTGGCCATTCGCTAAACTCACCGAAGTCATGGTCTGCCATAACCACAGGACACGAGAGGGGCCAGCACTTTGGTCGCCAGCCCCAGCATCATCAGCAGCAGCAGGTGGTGCCCCACTACCAGAGTCCGCAATTCCAATACGAATTCCCCACGCTGGACGGCACAGTTGGCAGCGGCGGAAGCGGTGGCGGAGGATCGAGTGGTGCCGGTCCCGGAATGGGAGGAGCGCAGTCGGGCAAGGGACACTACCAGAACCAGTCGCATCATTCGAGCTCAATCCAGCAGAACCATCATCACTCGCACCACTCGCATCATCATCAGCAGCAGCAGCACCACCACATCCAGCAACAGCAGCAGCTTCATCAGCAACAGTCTTCGCACCATCGGGACTACCACCAGAGCCAAGGACAGGGACGTCAGTACGGCGGGGGATCGCACCACTCGCATCGCGACTACAGAGATGGCAGCGACGACGTCGGCGGTGGCGCCGGTGGCATGGATCTTGGGGAGATGAGCCTGCGGCCACAGAACGATACGGCCGCCTGGCTGCAGCAGCAGGAGAAGGCGGCCAAGGGGGCGGCTGCAGCCGCTGCGGCGGCAGCCAACTCGGACATGGCGATGAGCCAACAGGGCCAGGGCCACCATCAGATCGCTGGCAATGGCGGCAGCGGTGGTACACCTGGTGGCGTCGGCGGAGGATCAGGCAACGGAGGAGCCGTTCCTCTTCCCATACTCTCGCTGATGCCCTCGTTTATGCGCAGCGGTGCACCAATGCCCACATCGGCGGTGGTTGCCGGCGGCCTGGGCATGGGTGTCGGCGGATCAATGGCCACCACGGTGGCCGGCATTCTCGCGGGCGGCTCCGAATCGGGTCTGCCCACCCACTACCAGAACGGCATTCTTGGAGGAAGGTCCGCCTCCCCGGCCGTGGGCGGTTTTCGTGCTGCCAGCGCTATACCGAAGCGTCCGGCGGCCTCTTCCTCGCCCCCACAGGGACTGGGAGCAGCGACGCCACCACAACAGCAGCAGTCTCAGCAGCAGGCAAACGGTGGCGGACGCAAGGAGAAGGACTATGTGGTGGAGCCAGAAGTGGCCCAGATGCAGCGACCTATTATCCGCGAGGAGGATCTGGAGCGGCTGAATGCGATAGCCAAGGACGACAGCTGGACAAAGCAGGATGACATTGATTATACCAAGAAGTTGACATTCTCGGACGACGAATCACCCCCAGAGGATCATCTCCATGGAGGCAAACACCAGCACCAACATCAGCAGCAGCACCAGCACCAGCAGCAATCCCAAATCTCGACAGCTACCTCCTCAGTATTGGCTGGCAAGATGGTACCCTCCTCCGTCGGCTGGCAGCGTGGCAAGGATAGTAGCGAGCGCGAGTCCCTCCCTGACGGGGGTTTGGACCAGCAGCAGCAACAACAATCGCAGCATCAACAGCAGCAGCAGGACATGCGACAGCAGAACGGACATCGTGGCAGTTCTGGTAATGTTGGGGCACCAGTTGCCGGTGGCATTGCCCTGGACGCCAGTGTCTATGAGCGCGTAAAGCAGCGCAAGGAGGAGGAGGAGCGTCGCGAAATGGAGCGAAAACAGGCGGCGGCCAAGAAACTACAGGAACTCGAAATGAAAATGAACAGCAAGAAGGCAGCGGCTGCGGCTCTGGCCGGCGAGGGACCCGCCTCCTCATCGGGATCTGTCTCCTCGAATGAGGCACAATCCCTTTCCGCACCGCTGGGTAATGCCAGTGAGGATGAGGGCGGAGGCCAGCATCGTCGTCCGCGCGGCAGCATCTCCAGCCTGGGCAGCGGTGTCAGTGCCGTGACTAACAGTGGAGGCGGCGGTGTGTCAAGTTCTGGCTCCCCGGCTGGTGGTGAATACGGCCAGAAGGGCGTGTTCCTTACCCACTTTCAATCGAATTTACCACCACGTTTCCAGCGCCAGCAACAGCAACAACAGCAGGCCCAGCAGCAGCAGCAGCCACGTCTGGAGAAGAGCGCCTCGGCCAGCAGTGCTTTCGATAGCAATTCGCGCTACCTGCAAAAGGGTGGCGTGGGTTCTGCTAGCGGAGGAGTAGCGGTGTCTGGTACCGTCACAAGTGGTGGAGGTGGACGTGGGAGCTATGCTCAGCGCGGTGCTCCCGGTGGAGGAGCCGCTGGCGGCGGCTTCGGACGAAATCGTCACGACAGCTCCAGTGCCCGCGAGGAGCAGGAGGCACTGACCATCGAGCAGCAGCAGCAACGGTTCACCCGCGGACAGCAGGAGTACAGGAGCCAGGTGCAGTCGCTGCCGCGCAGCATTTCAGAGAATTCGCATCGCAAGACAAGCGTCTCGTCGTCGACTGGTGGCGAGGAGTGCGCTATTTTGAGCCTGGGCTCGTGCTCCTCCTGGGCCGAGCAGACGGATGCCGAGCAGAAGGTTCACCACAGGCATCGCGAGGAGAGCTTCTCGTCCACCCACAGCCACGACTCGTCCGTTCAGATTAAGATCCTGCAGCGTCCGGCGCGTCAGCCCAGTCTCAGCGAGGAGGCCATGGCCCCCCTTGGTGGTCAGCAGAAGCAGCTGCTGCCTGCCTCCCCATCGCTGCACAAGTCCGCAACTGTAGAGATCATGCCCACGCAGATCCTGCGCCGCAGCGTGGAGCCGCTCGATAAGTCCGATGACAAGTCGGAGGAGAAGTCCGACGCCGATGGCGACAAGGCAAAGCAGCAGCAGCAGGCGTCGGCTGGCAGCAAGCAGCAGCAAGATGAGGACAAGGCGCATCCAAGCGCCACTGCCAGCAAGCGGCCCAGTCCCAGAGGCGGAGGAGGAGGCGGTGCTGTCGGCGGACGTGGCGGCAATACACGCAGCTATGCGGCCAGCGCGGGAGGCGGTGGAGGAACGCAAGCAACAACTGTCGGAAGTGGCAGCTACCGTGGCGGACCGAGAAGCGGCAGCGACTGGTGCAGCAGCAGCCGCAGCAGCGGTGCAGCTGGCAGACGCTACTACGGCAGTGGCGGCGAGCAATCGGAGCACTCGGAGGACGTGGATGAAGACTGCTACAGCAGTGGCGGTGGCGGAGGCGGAGGAGGAGGTTCATGCGCAGCACGTCGTCGTCCGGAGGATCCAGCGGGACAGCCGCCGACCAACAAGGCCGGATTCTCGCCGCGCGGTGAACCCTCACGACGCGGACGCGGTGGACTAAGCAGCGGAGGTGGATCCGCCTCAGCGCCAGGGTATCGTCGACCGGTTGCCGCGGGATCCGGTGGCAATGCTGGAGGTGCGGGACGATCGTATGGACGACTCGGCTACGAGGAGTACGGCAAGCGCAGCTCAGAGTCGGAGGCGGATCTGGCGGACAAGAGCAAGCACATGGCCAAGGACGAGAAGGAGGCCTGCGGAGGCGTAGGCGAGGAGAAGGACTGCAAGACTGGCACTTCCGCGCCCAGCCACAGTCACAGCCACAGCCAGCTCACTGCCCTAGTCAAGGAGGAGACCCAAAAGGACTCGCCAGCGCGTATGCCTCCCGGACTGGCTGGCACAGGAGCAGCAGTAGGACCAGCTCCCACGGCCCTGACAGGCGTCCCAACAGGCGCACCCTCATCCTTGGGCTGCTCGGGTGATCTGCTCGAAAAGAAAAAGTCCAGCGGCGACCCCTCATCCGTCTCGTCGGTCATCGGCGGTCCATGCGTCGTCGGCGCAGGTGAGAAGGTCATCAAGCTGGCGGCCATCGGCGAGAAATCACCACTGGTGGCCGTCAGTCTGGGAGTGGGTCCCGTTTCTGGTCCGGGCGCAGTACCCGTCGGCCAGGGAGGCGCCACTCTTCTCATCGACGGCGCCCCCGTCAACACGATCATCTTTGAAAACTCAACGTACAAGCAGCAGCAGGTGCAGCAGCAGCAGCAGCAGCAAGCGGTCGCAGCGGCTGTGGTCATCAAGCCAAGCAACAGCCAGCTATCGGGCGACTCCACGGTGGACAGCCTCTCCAGTGCCTTGTCCCAAATGAGCTTCGGCGGCAAGACCGCTTCAGGAGCCGGCGAGGAGGCGCAGGATATGAAGCTAGGCTTCACCTTTGGTGATGATCCCTCGCCCCTCAAGGTGGATACCATGGACAAGGCAGCCGCCGCCAGCCAGCAGCATCAGCATCACCAGCAGCAACAGCAGCAGCAGGCGGCACAACAACAGCAGCAGCAAAATAATTCAACGGCCGATCTCAATATGAAGATAGCCAGCGTGAAAAAGGTTTGGGAGTCGGCAACACCCATGTCGGACGGGCCATCGCCCTCTCAGGTGCAGCAGCAACAGCAGGCCCTGCCCTTGGGCCAGCAGCAGCAGCAGCAGGTCATGGCCCAGCAGCAACAGCAACAACAGCAGCAGCAGCAACAGCAACAACAGTCGCTGGTCCAGCAACAGCCGCTGCAGGTCCAGCAGCAAGTGCAGCAGCAGCAGGTTCAGCAGCAGCAACAGCAGCAGGCGGTGCAGCAGCAACAATCTGTATTGCAGCCCCAGGGCGGGGACGATGGCAGCAGCCATATGAGTGCCGCCTCGTTTGTGGCCGCGGCGGTGGCTGCTTCGCAGCAGCATCAGCAGCAGACTATGCCCCACTATGCGGTCTCAGCGGTTCACATGCAGAGCCACCACCACCAGCAGCAGCAGCAGGCCCAGCATCATCAGCACCATGCGCTGTCTTCGCCGGGTCCGGTGCCTGGAGTGCATGGCTATGGGGGCCATGGATCGCCCTTTGATGGCGGCTCGTTGGATCAGCAGTTCCAGCAGGAGGACTATCCAAGTCCCCAGCAGCAGCACCAGAAGGCCAAGCAGCAGAAGTACCTGGGTATGTCTCCGCCCCCCAGCCAACAGCAGCAGCACTCTCAGCAGCAACACTCGCAGCATCAGCAGCACCAGCAACAGCAACAGCAGCAACCGTTCTACCAGGCATCGCCGCAGTTCGGTGTTGGCGGCATTCCAACGATTCCCAGCCCGCCGGCCGTGGTGTTCAATTCGTCGCAGATGCCACCGCCGCCGCCACCGTCGCAGGGCGGCAATCTGTATGCTCCATTCCATACGCTCGATCATTCGAGCCGCTCGCCCGCCTACTCGGCGGCAGCGGCCGCACACAACTTCCCGGGACACTATGCGGCCGCAGCGGCGGCGGCGGCAGCAGCCGGTGGCCCCTTCAACGTCAATGCGTACGCCATGCAGACGGCCCACGGCGGCAACATGCCCCAGACGGCGCCCACACCCGACATGTACTCCAATCTGTCGTCGCAGTTCCGTCTGGGCGGCGGACCCGGCGGCCCATCGGTCGGCCCCTTCGGTCAGCCCAACTCGCAGCAGCTGAGCAATCCGAACGCGACGGTGGCCATCATCTCATCTAACACCAACTCCATGATGTCCTCGGGAGCGGCGAAGCCGCCTCAAGCCAGCCAGCAGCCCATTGGGGCCATAGGCTCCAAGTCAGCGGGCAGCGGCGGTGGCCCCGGCCCGTATGCCACCACCCAGCCGTATATGAATCTTTATCCCGGACCGCCGCCTCAGCATCCGGGTCAGGGTGGCCCACCGCCGGGCGCCCATCAGCTCCAGTCCAACAGCTACTACTCGAATTCGGCGCAGGGCGGCCCAAGTGGGCCACAGTACTATGGTGGACCCCCTCAGGGCAATGGCGGTGCGCAGAGCTACGGCCTGGCCACAGCCGCCGGCATGTACGGAGGCCACCAGGGCGGACCGCCCGGCTCGAATGGTCCGCCAGGAGGACCCCAGTCACAGCACACGATGGGAAACTTCAATACGCAGTTCATGAACTCACCTTTGCTGACGGCGGCCAATATCAATCAGTACCGCGGCGGACCAGCGCCCGGTGCGGCCTACCTGAAGAGCAGCCAGGGACAGGGCCATATGCAGGACTCGGTAAGGACTCTATCAGATGCAGACGCAATTAATGTCTGTCGTAGATAGTAGTGGATCACATCCAACGCCTAACACTTAACATAGATGTACACACCACACTCAATCATTACTATCAGCTATAACTTAACCCCTTAGATGCAATCAGATCAAATAAGAGGGTCGGGGGATGTCAAGACTCAAGAAAATCAAGAATCTATAATCGAGTGTCAAGAAAATCCTTCGTCGAGTGGATGATAGTACCAACGCACTATGGTCCCAATGACAACTTTTGTTGTCCTAAATTAATAACTCGCGAACGAAAAAAGATATTTTGATTTAGTTTTTTGATATTAGTTAAGAATAACAAGGGGCATGTTTTTTGAGAAAATGGGCGTGGCACCGCCTTTTTTATAAGGAAAAATCAGTTTTTATTTTTTTTCTCAAAATGTTAGAAGCAAAAAAGGATGGGAATATGTTAAGCAGTGCAAGATTCTATAAAAAAAAAAGTCGTAGCGCGAATTAAAACAGCTTTAAAATACAATATAATGGAATTTTTTGTCCCACAAAGCATTCTTTATTCGATTTTTATTTTTTGTCTGAAAATGTTAGAAGCAAAATATGGATGGGAATATGTTTAGCAGTGGAAGATTCTATAAAAAAAAGTCGAATTAAAACAGCTTTAAAATACAATATAATCGAATTTTTTGTCCCACAAAGAATTCTCCATTGGAGTTTTTATTATAAAACAATATTACACTGGATATCAAACTCTAGACCTCCAAAATAGCTAGTGACTAATATTATGGCTTAAATGCAATGCGAAATGGCACCCTACTTCACAATTTTCTTCTTCATTGTGTTCCAAACGGCGAAAAAGCACTGAAATTTCTCATTTGAGGTTATGATCTATAAATGCAAATTGTAAGAGTTGTGGTCAAATGTGGCATTTCTGACTATATACATTTTAACAATCATTTATTGCTCTACGAAATACAATAGGTTTCAGGGTGGGACTAGGTGGCACTCTATTAAAAACACTTTTTCAAAAATTAGTTTTCACTACGAACTGATACATATTGAAGGCCTCACTTTAACAAACAATTACGAAGACATCGCCAACAACTAATACCGTTCACATTACAAAACACGTAGTAAAAACCCTACTGAATAAAATGCATCCAAAAAAATGGATCAGCTAATCGTATTTTTCAATTTATGAGACATTTAAAACAGCAATAAAACTGGTACTTTTTCACTGCATATGCTGTGCAATAATGACCGCTAGGTTTCACAGCTGGATTTGCGAAGGTGGCGCCATCTATGCAAATTTCTGGTACGCAACTTTGATGGTCACTTTGATGGTTCTAAAACAGATCGCCAAAAACCACATCTTGGTTTTAACTTTTAAAAATTAGCTTATGGCCAAGAAAAGTGGTCATTGGGACCATAGTGCAGCGGGGCCAAGCAACTGTGGATTTTGTCGGTGAAGAGGGAGATCGGTGACTTGGCTCTGCGCAGATGTTATCCTTAGAGAATGAGTCGCCGGCATTTCTATGTCCAATGATGAAGGTATCAAGCAATCGATGAAGCGTCGCGGAAGTCAGTATGTGACCTGTGTAAGGTATTCCCTCGGTTTTGAATTCTTGAAATGCCTTGAACATTCCGGAATTCCGGTAGATCTCTGACACGTCACGATTTTAAATATAGTCTTTGGTTGCGAAAACCATACGCCTTATAATAATCAAACTATATGTCTTCTCTCCCTTCTCTCACACACCTCCTGCAGATGGGCCGACAGCTGAAGAGTCCACTGAGCGCTGATATGAGTCTCGGCCTGGCCAAACAGGTCCAGTCGCAGCCCAGTCCACCTCACCACAAAAACTATGGCGCTGTAAGTCTTTAACCTGATGTGCTTACCACAGAATAATGATCACACTTTCTCCTCTTTCCTTTCTGCAGTGGGATCTGCAAAACCAGGTGCTGCAGCAGCAACAACAGCAGCAGCAGCAACAATCTCAGCAACAACAGCAGCAGCAGCGCCAGCAGGGAGGTAATGGCGGCAACGGACCCAACATGAACGCACTGGGCGGACGTGGTAGCGGTGCCGTGGGTAGTGGCAGTGGCAGCGGTGGCGGCTCTCAGGTGGTTGGAGGCAACGGCGGTGGCGGCGGCAATGGTGGCGGCAACGGTGTTGGCAGCGTGGGACAGAGTGGCGGTAACCAGGGCCGGTACCCCACGCCCATTCAGCGACCCAACAACTATCCGCAGCAGCATCCCCAGCAGCAACAGCAGCGGGATCAGGCGGCTGCAGCGGCGCAGCGCGCCCAAAACATGCGGCAGGTGACCGGCGGCAATGGAGGAGTAGGAGGCCAAGGCGGTGGCGTTGGCGGTGGTGCCGGCAGTGCCGGTGGCAATGCCAATGCGTCAGTTGGACCGCCGGGCGGTAATAGCGGCGGTGGTGGCAATGGGGGACCAGGAGGAGCGGTGGGCGGCGGATCAACTGGCTCCGCGGTCGGTTCGGCAGCTGCGCAGTTGAGCAAGCCCTATTATGCCAACAATGCGGCCGGCTCCGGCGGTGGGGCCAATCGCGGTGAGTGGCACGCCAACTGAGTGGGGCAGAACCCTTCACCCACGAACACGACCGCTCTCACTCCCACTCCAGCAGACCCCAGCCACAGCCACAGCCCCCCACCTACAATACAAGAAAATCCACACACACAAACGTGCATACAGGCATAGAGGAATCGAATCGAGCAAAATGAGGAAGGAGTGCGGAATGCGAAATGCGAAGTAGAAGAAATAAAAGGAAACGTAAGGAAAGGAAAAGAGAAGAAAGTAAATATAACGTATGTTGCAACCGATAGAAGCGAAAGCAGAGAGAAGAAATATTTACTTATCCATAAAACTAAAAATTAAGCAAAACATAAACAAGTTAAAGTAAAAAGTGAAGCAAAGGTAACGAAATCAATGTTAATAACACACAAACCACAACAGATACTAGCTAAAGCGTAATACAAAAAGTAAGAGAAGTGCATGGGTTGTGCGTGTTCAATAAAGAAAATGAGACGCGGGAGCAAAAGCGACAAAGAGAGCGAGAGAGAGAGGACAGAAGAGAAGAGATCTGAAGATATGAGTAGAGCTGAAATCTAAACAGGGCTGCCAAGAATGTGACGGTAAAAGTTAACCGTAAGTGAGAAAAGGAAACAAGACAAAAAGGAATCAGAACTACTCAAGAGTAAATGAGAAATGATGGGAGAAATTCAACCGTAAAGTGAGAGAAGAGCGTTCGAAGGGGAATTTTGGCAACAGCTAAGAGACAGACACACAAGCCTAAACCTATACGAAAATTATAGCAGGAGTAAATGCCGATTAGCAATAAGAAGCACTCGGCAGGAGGATCTGGCAGCAGACGTTGATTTGAAGATTGTGGTAGGTCCTCAGGGAAGTGAGGCGGAACGAATGCAGATCAGAGATAGTGAGATATAGGTACCCCCCTCCATACCCATACACAGCCCTGACCTGGTCCCCTCCCCCGCCACACCGCCACCGCTACTATAAGACGGAAACGGAAGCAGCCGCAACAGGAGAACATGAGAAAGAAAGAGCAAAAGAAATCGGAGGAATTGCAAGAGAATTACTTATTTAAAAAAAACACACAACATGCAGACATTACACAAACACGAACACGGAACTCATATAATTACATACATACATAAATAGCGGAGTGTATTTTTTGTCAAACAAATTTACATAATATTAATTTTACGTTTATATACTTATAATTTGTTTGTAGTAGAGTCTCTCTCCCCGCCCCAACCTTAATCGCTCTATCCCATTAAAATGCCCCCGCAAAATCGAACCCCAACAAAAGATTGGAAACCAACAACCACAAACTGAACATTTGGCACTGCGTATGCTTTAATTTCTTTATACATAAATACATAATACATTATATACATAAATATTGTTTAATTTTTTTGCAACACAAAAAATCCACTAATAATTCTAATTTATGTTTATGCTACAATATAATACATTATATATATATATACAAAACGTATCCCGGGGCTCTATCTAATCTGTTCATCAAATCTGAATGAAAACGGAAGAAAAAAAGTGGCGAAACAGCGAGCACGAGATGATGCCTACATACAAATGAAATGCAGACAAGCTTTTAAGTTTGATTAAGAGCAAAACTAAGTTTAAACAAGTAAAAGCAAACAAAATACATTATAGCAGTCATGTATGAACAAAAACAAAACTGAAACAAAACAGCAATTGGCTGGCTCTATGTAGCATTATACAGACATATGCCATATATCCCAATCACGATCGTTATACAAGTCCCCTCCCTCAATAAGGCAGCATTGCTAAACAAATAACGGTATCCGTATCCCCCGGTATCGCATCCCAGGCTTTAAATTGAAAGTGTTCAGCGCAAATCGCACATGGGTGGCAACACCGCGCCCCCACCCCCAATCGTAGCCAGACCTGCCAGAAACCGCCAGCCAGTAATCGGAAGGAACAGAACTGTAATCGAAATGAAAGTTTTATGCTCAAGGCGCAGACACCGAAGATTGAGAAGAAAGTTATAAGTAATGTATGCTGTACGAGAATGATGTTTAAACAATTTATATAAATGTGTAATTCATTATGTAACTGTAACTGTAACTTAACAAGGATATGATACGATCTATGTATGGGCATTAACTATACACGCAAAAACACCCAAACACACAAATACGCATTCATATAAAAGAATACGAGAATATATATATATACTATATATAGAGGCAAAACTGGTAACACTTTTAATGACAAACAGATCCCATCCCCCCACACACACCACACATACAACGGTAATTATAACAATTACACATCCCTAGGAGGAGACAGTGGGAGGGAGCCGCAGAGATCTCTCGCTTGAACCAGTCACCCTATGCGCTCTCAGCGAATACCAATATGGTTCGAGGGGGGGGGGGGGGGGGGGGGGGGGGGGGGAATCCCGCAGTATCTATCCCTATGCGAAATACATACATATGTAGTAGAAATATAGACAAAAAACAAAAGAGAAGCAGAATAACTGCGACTGCGCTGCGCACTTTGCTACGCTGCTATGCTGCGCTGCTTCTGTAAAGCGCATAAGACAAAACGCAATAGAAAAAAAGCAATGGAACATAGCGGTATATTAAATAGCCCACAAATACATAATCAGACTCACTCACTCACATGCACCCACAAAAGCCCTCTCTCACTCACTCACATAAGACCCGACCCCGAAAATGGGAAATTGCAAAGGCAGGAAAATGGTTTAGTAACAGAAACAGAATAAAAGGAATGATAAGGATAGAAAAGAAAAGGAAAAGTTTTGCGAAAGCAAAACAGTTAGTGGATAACAAGAATAGAGGAGATATATAAAAAAAACCAAAATCGAAGCAAGCGCTTGCTATTATCACCAAGCAAACAACTCACAACAACTCTCACCAAGAGCCGAAGGCACTGGGAGCCAATCCACTAAACTGGTTAGGCAGTCAGGTTTTACCACGTTTGAACATTCTATGAGTTGTTTGCTTGGTGCTATTATACAATACATGTAAAAGGTAATTACATAGCATATACATACAATTGATAAATGATATAAACACTAATTTATACCTACAACATATATTTTAAATGCCACACGAAACCAGTTAGGGCTGATTAACAAAAAGCTAAACGGTCGCGGGTCGCAGGCCAGGGCGGCCAGGCGTATAGGAGAGAAAAGAAGAGTACAGTACATGAAATATTTATACGAAATATATGTAAACCATTTTTACATTCAATTCATTCAAATTAATTTTTATCAATACTGAAATTTCGATAAACAAAAAACAAAAGTAACCTGGGGCTCGCCCAAGATCCTCCTCCAATACCCTCTGAGTCCCGCTCAAATCAATTGAATGAGAGGGATCTTTAAATTTCGATTCAAATCTGGGTCCTGCTCCAGTTCCTCCCTTGCCCCCTTAACCACTAGCCTCAACCGATGAATGAGGGAAATTTAAAGCAAGTTTGAAATGAAATAAAACTTTAAATAAAATATTTAAAAACAAAACAAACAACGAACAAAATTTATTTAACAAGAAGTTTTTAACCTACGGTTAAGCACTTAAGCACTTAAGCACATCTGTCATCTACAACAATTTTCACGCCAACACGCTCCTTTAGCTCGCCCCCCTTTCCAAGAGCCACACAATGCAGAGTCCCGGCAGAGGCAGAGGCCGCACACTGCAGAAGCAGAGTGTGAATGAGAGAATGTGCAAAAACAAATATAATCTGCGGGACGGGGTGAGTTTATTATATTATTATAGAAAACTCATCGATGTGGCGAATGTCTAGCAGAATTATAATTTAGGCCCAAAAGAAGGAATATTATTGGTAAATAGGTTTATCCAAATTATGGGCCGATCACAATAGCAGTTGTCGGAGCATGCAGAAGAAACTTCTTCATAAATAAACATTAAATTGATTTTCTACAGCCGAAAAAGTATTGCTCAACCCCTTAACGATAGGTTGGCTTTCCGAAGGTAGGTAAAGGAGGAAAAGCGTACGCTTTCGATTCTGTTGCGTAGATTTGCATGTCTGGTTCGAAATACTCTGGGATGACCTGAATCAGAGCGAGATGAAGTTATATGTGTGTAACAGTGAGCAGTTGGAAGAGAATTTCCTTGTAGATGGACGAGAAGTGCACCAAAGACTCACATAAATCTTTATTGGGGAGCACTTTCATAATGCACTCACACTGATAATTGTTCTCTGACCAACTGACTTCCCTCCTGGCGCGAGAGCACATTACATAAGCCGTTTGGTTCATTGTGTTAAATTTTCAACTTATTTATTCCTTCAAGGTCTTGCACTACACATAAATTTACATGGCCTCGATCCTGCGTCTCCCGTTCTGTGGTGTTCGGATCACAGCATTCGGTCCATGGGTCCGGTCCTACTGGGGCTGCAGAAGTACTTAGTACGAGAAGAAAAGAAAGACGGCAACAAAACCGGCAGCCCTCTACTTCTTCTTGGGCTTCAGCACCTGGTAGGCAATAATCAGTCCCATCACAGCATATGTAGCCTTGGCCACCTGCAAGAACCATAGATCAAGAGGGTGTCATAACACTTGGAAGGAACGGCATAGATCTAAACATTTGCATGCGGAAAAGTACTCACATTGGCGCGTCCGCTCATGGTAGAGCCATTGAATATTTTCGACATGCCGGTCAGTTTTTCGCCTTCACCAGCCATTTCTGCGGGTGTACAAATAATAATAGTAATTGGGTTATCTGACTATATTTCCCAATGTTTTGGGATCGTCCACTCACTTTCAGGTTATTTTTCACGGGTCTGCAATTGGCCAATAAAAAAATTTGCTACTGAGGTTATACAACTGTGTAGGGTTGCATTGATATATCGAAATACAGACCTGCCAAATGTGAAACAGAGCTGTAAATGGTGTGTAGATGTATCGGCTCATTGATTAGTTTAAGCCTAGTACTCAGATCGAAAAAAAGGGGCCCCAAAAAAAATCAGGGATGATATTCGTATGGAACCGATTAGAAATGTTGAGCGCACAATTTAAATTCTTGCGGCTGTACGCCAGGCAGTACTCAGATGGACAAAAAAGCAGGCCGATTAAATCTAAAAAGTCAGCCGATAGTATTTTGTGGCTTTGATAGTATTTGTGTGGTATTGATAGTATTTGTGTGATATTCGTTAGTGTGTTGCTAGCAGCTCGATAAATATAGATTAGTACTACTCCACAGGGTCGTGCCAAGGTTCGATGGCGCCGTTTTACAACTTTGCAACGGGCAACGGGTTTCCACAAATGAACACATATTTATATGATTTATAATACTCAAATGTATAGACAGCGACCGTCCTGGTTTCTTTCCTGCAGATATGGGTTTAATCAAAGTGTTCGTCGCTTATTTCGTTGATTGTCCTCCTCCGGTCACGGAAGAGCCGCCAATCCCACTAAAAGCAATCTCCTGCATGGATCGATTTTGCATCCATTGTTTTATGAACCTTATATTCAATTTGCACACATTTTCAAAAAGGTAAACAAGACAACACAGCTGTCTGAGAAGTGTAACCGTACGGAATGCGGGTTTCACCTCTGGTCACACTCTGATGGCAGCAAAATATATTGCACATTGTGCCAGCAAGCGTTCTTTTCGATCTGAGTATTTCTTAGCCCTATGTCTTTCGGAATGAGTTGGTTAGTTCTTTTGAGAAAAAATCGTGTCAACTCGTTTTAAGATGATAACTTCTGGCCAAGCAAATTCCCTTTATTTAACCAAATTTTGCTGAGGTCAATTTACATGTACACAGTCACTAACCAAATAGTATAATATAATTAATATAATATATAATATAAATATAAAATATAATTTATAATTAACTAACTAATATATATATATTATTATATAATAACTAATATATAATATACTATTTGGTTAGTGACACAGTTGTGTGAACAGTCCAGAAGTGCGCGCAAAATTCAAATTTAAATGAGAAAAATGTTTGAGTAATTAAGGAACAATCGCAGAGAGTGAATTATATCACTGAAGTCCTAACATGTTCGTAATTTTTATTAAGTAGGTATATCAATAGTGCGTTCACCATGAAAAAAAAAATATTTAAGAAAAAACCAGACGAACAGCTGCTTGTGACAATATCGATAGTTCGTGAGCCGATTGTATTTACGACGTCGCGTTAGTATGGTGTGGATCGGACGCGATCACAAGGACTCGAAAGCCGATAGATTCCATGGGTCATGGATCATGGATCGGTGACGGTTGGCTTATTGAACGCGCCCGATGCCTATCTGGTCCTTCCTTGCCTTTAAAGCTCGTGCAGTGCTGTAAAATACGCGTGGAAGTGCAAAGTGGCGCGAAGTTTAAATCTCAAAGTGACACGTAATAGTCCTAAGATCTGCGAATTATGCTGGTGATATGATTACCCGGCAACTAAAAATATCAAAAACAGTCTAACAAATCTTTAATGTTTTTGATAATTTACCTCTATGACAACCGTCTGGACCATTCGCCAGCGTTGAAAAGGAGAGGCTTTGAGAGTGCAATTCATATTAAAAACCTTTCACCTCTGTCATAGCTGCTTGCAAATAAGAGGGGAGACAACAAATGTCAACGGCAGCCTGGAAAAATCGCATCTAATTACTAGGCGTGGTGCAGCTCACACTGTCTATCAACTGTATTCGGCTGGGTGCTTGGAATCTGAAATGAAAACTCATTAAAATTAGAATGCACTCGCCTGAGAACCGAAATCTGGCATTCCAAATTGTCAACAACAACAAAAATAAGGCAACCAAAGGAAAAAGAATGCATTTATTATAATAAAAGAGAGTGGTAAGTGCAAAACAGAAAAGTATAGTCAAATCGAGTGCTGAATACCCTTTCATAATTATGATATTTCGTATTACTTTAAGTGTGAGGAGGTTGGTTTAGTTGTACCATGCAGAAATATAGAAACATTCAATCAAATGAAGAATAAATAATTTTGCAGAATCGCACACGTCTTTCGGAATCGTGTTAACCTACTTTTAAAATATTATTGAAATGAGGCAGAACAATAAAAAATAAATGTGTAATTAGAGCCATGAATGGCATTTGGGCGTCTGTGACTGCACACATATATCTTCCCTCCTCCCTGCCCGACCACATGGAAACACAACCCCACACACAAATACATTTCAAAGATGCATATTAAATAGAAGCACCCGCAAATCCCTCACCCACGCAGCTGTCATCCAGAACAAAGGCAAGAGCACAAAAAAATGAGGAAAGGACATTTACACGAGCAAAATTACAGATTCCGCCCTGACATGCCAGCAGCAAAGGGCACGCCCATTGCCATGGCTTTGGGGCCCTGGGCGGTAGTAGGCTTTAGGGTTAGCTTTAGGTTGAGCTCTCACTTGTGTGGTATATAAGCCGTATGAGTGCCAGTCGTCTGCCTGTCTAAGCAGATGGAAGCCAAAATGGAGAAGAGCAACTCGCTGCGCGTGCAGATACTCGTATATCGCCTGGTGGGCATCGATCTGTGGAGCCCAACGTCGGCCAACGATCGTCACCTAGTGACATTTTTGACTATGGGTCCATTGTTCGCCTTCATGCTGCCCATGTACCTGTCCGCCAGGGAGAACATTACAGAGGTGAGTCTGCTCTCCGACACGCTCGGCTCCACCTTTGCCAGCATGCTGACCCTGGTCAAGTATATGCTATTCGTCTACCACCGCAAGGAGTTTGTGGGCATGATCTATCGCATCAGGGGAATCCTGGACAAAGGTGAGTCTTACAGAAATCACACAATTATAGAGATCAGACCTCTTGTTCGTTAGAGATCAACGGGTTGCTGAAGGCCAGGGAGATTGTTGACGCAGAGAATCAAAGCGATCAAATGCTGAGCCTCACCTACACCCGCTGCTTCGTCATGGCGGGCATTTTTGCGGCTATTAAGCCATTCGTTACCATGTCCTTGGCCCTGCTGCGGGACGGGGGCGATGGCAGCAAGCTCCACCTGGAGCTGCCCCACATGGGTGTCTATCCGTACGACTACCAGGTGATGTGGCTCTTCGTGCCTACCTACCTGTGGAACGTGATGGCCAGCTACAGTGCCGTGACCATGGCTCTCTGCGTGGACACATTGCTCTGTTTTTTCACGTACAATGTGTGCGCCATCTTCAAGATAGCCAGGCACCGGTTGGTCCATCTGCCGGCCATGGGTGAGTCGGATCCACGGGCGGAGCTTGAGGGGTTGGTTCAGGTGCTTCTGCTGCACCAGAAGGGCCTGCTGATAGCGGATTTCATTGAGGATCATTACCGGCCGTTGATCTTTCTGCAGTTCTTCCTGTCGGCGCTGCAGATCTGCTTCATCGGCTTCCAGGTGGCCGATCTGTTCCCCAAGCCGCAAAGTCTCTACTTTATCGCTTTCGTTGGCTCCCTGCTCATCGCCCTGTTCATCTATTCGCACTGCGGCGAGAACATCAAGAAGGCCAGCCTGGATTTTGGCGACGGCATCTACGAGAGTAACTGGACAGACTTTGCGCCCCCCACCAAGCGGGTCCTGCTCATTGCGGGCATGCGTGCCCAGCGTCCATGCCAGATGAAGGGATACTTCTTTGAGGCCAGCATGGCCACCTTCTCAGCGGTGGGTAGCTAAACATCTATCGATGGTATCCTTTTTATAACACAATTTCCTTTTAGATTGTCCGCTCTGCCATGTCGTACATCATGATGTTGCGATCATTCAACGTATAAATTGCAGGAGCAGGAGCAGGAGGAGTCGAATCAAACTAAAATGATGTAACATTTAGACAAAATTAAACTTAAAGATAAAAGTCCTCACATTCCGCCTCTTTAATTCTTGAGGTGGCAACTCTAACACTCGCTCCAACTCATATAGTTTTTCCAGCACTTTTCTGCACTTCAACTGGAAAATTTGCGAGTTTTCGTTGAAGTTGAATCCAAGACTTTCAGTCTCAGGCACGCCATCAGCCTAATTCACTTTCGTTTCGGTCAGTCAGAGCCGGCAACCAGAAACCAGCAGCCACCATCGTACAGCATCCTTAACATCCTCCACAAAAACCACCTCCTATAGTTTCGAGCTTACACCAGCCTTGGCCCTAGTTTCGCCAAAAAACTTTCGGCTAACTTTCCGTTAACCTGTCCAAAAACTTCCACTTAGCTGCCACCCGCTCAGAGCCCTTTCCTAATCAAGCCGAAGGCCAAAGGCCACCCCCCAAATGGTCTCGCTGGTCCACTCATTCCACAGCCCCACTTCCCACTCCCTACACTCGAATCTCGACTGTCGTGTTGCATTTGCTGTATCAATTTGTTATACATTTCTCTGTGTGCAACACGGAGAAGGATAAGTTTCGGACTCTGTCGAACATTTTTCGTTGGAGTTCGGATCGGAATATTCTGATCGGAATATTCCCGCAGAGCCCTGCGTTCAGGCTTTCGAAACTCAGCTAAGTAATTAATAACAAAATAAAGATGGAAGGTACGGGGAAGCAGCACACACACAGCACACCTACATGCTGGATTCTCCACATTGTGGAATTTTTCAATCTTTTCTTTTTGGTTTGCCATGGGGAATGCTGTGTGCAAAGCAGCAGAGCGAAAAGAATTGCAGCAAGCTATATCGCTGCATAGTTTCGTACATACAAATGTGTGTACATACATATGTAAGTGGCTGACCCCTCCCCCTTCCACAATCTTGGGCACTCTATCAAGAATATAACCAGTCAGCCCAAAGCTGCAACCCAGCACAACAGCATCACTCAGAGCTGTGCTTGCCACCAAAGCATTATGCTTGCTGCACAGTAGATAATTACTAGTTGTTTTAGCATTTTCGATTGTAGTCCATGATCCCCTCACGAGTGTCCACATACCTACATATGTACATACATATGTATGCTCATTAGGCAACTCATTTACGTTTACCAAAATATTTACATTAACATTAACATTTACAGTCCACTGCACTATGGGGCATTTGACCACTTTTTGTGGTATTAATTAATAACTTCCAAACGAATCAATATTTTTTGATTTCGTTTTTTGATATGTGGTTATAATAGTGAAAGGAAGGTTTCTTGAAAAGAAACTGTGTAAAGCAATGCCATATTATCCTTAAAAAAGTTAGAAGATAATCGGGTTTTTACATTGACTTCCTTGTATACTGCAAGCAGCTTCTTCGAGAATACTCTAAAAAATTCACTTCATTTTTTAAATTTAGCAATATTTGCACTTTAAACTTCATGAAAAAAATCATTTTTCCGATAACTCTCTATTGGTCGTAGCAAACAGCTGACTTTAACGGCTGTTATCTTAACAGTTAATTTTTTGGGTACGTTACATTACGAACTGATGTTATTCCTATGTACATCTGATAAAAAATATTACTTTTTATACCCGGTACTCAAAGAGTAAATAGGGTATATTGTATTTGTGCACAAAGTATTTAACACACAGAAGGAAACGATTCCGACCCCATAAGGTATATATATTCTTGATCAGCATAAATAGCCGAGTCGATAGAGCCATGTCTGTCTGTCCGTCTGTCCGTCTCGTTTGTCGGCTAGTTCTCAGAGACCATAAGAGCTAGAGCCACCAAATGTTGGCTCCGGACTGCTGTATGCTCACACTGAAACCAGTGTATTTCAAAAATGAGCCACGCCCCCTTCCGCCCCCGCAAAAGGACGAAAATCACCCAAATCTACAGTTTTGAAGATACAAGAAAACTAAAAACGCCATTCCGTAGGAAATGGCCATATCTATCAGATCACTATTGGGATCCGATCGGATCATTATTATAGCCACAATGGAGAAATTAATTTCCAGTGGCTAAACCCATCCTGTCCCGCAGCTTTTGTTGCTCTTCTTATATTCTCTCATTCACACTCTGCTTCTGCTTCACTCGGCCCCTGCCTCTGCCCTCCCCCTGGCGTTGACTCTTCCGACTTTTAACCGACTCGGTTTTCAACGCTAGATGGCGCCACTTTCGAAAAATTTGCTGTGAAACCTATCGGTCATTATTGCACAGAATGTGCAGACCATTGGACCATCAAAGTTGCGGACAAGAAATTTTCATAGATGGCGCCACTTTCGAAAAATTTGCTATGAAACCTATCGGTCCAAGAATGTACCAATTTTATTGCTGTTTTAAATATCTCATAAATTGGAAAATATTAACTGATCCAATTTGTTTGATGTATTTTATTTAGTAGGCTTTTGACTACGTGTTCTGTAATGTGAACGATATCTAGTGGTTGGCGATGTCTTCTACATCTAGATGTAGTCCTGAGTGCCGGGTATAAAAGTTGTGACGCGTAAAAAGCGTCTCACACGTCCCTTCTCGTTTTACTTTTGACAAATGAGTTTCGGCCAGGAAAAGTGGTCAAATGTCCCATAGTGCACTGTTAAGTCAAATAACTTGTAGCTGGGCGACTGTTGAGCGTGGGACTGGCCATGGCCCATCGGAGCTGGCAGACACAACAGCTCCGATTGGCCATGGCAAAACATAAAAGACATCTAACGTCAGGCAACCACGGCAGGAATATGGATAACCAAATATAGGAAATTTTTATATTCGAAAAGAATGCCACGAAATACTTTGTATTCATCTCTTTCGTGCTTTCATTTTTGACATTAAAAGTGCAAAAACATTCGAGCATGAACAGTCCGAAGTAAATGAAAATGAATGCCAAGAGCAATCTGATCAGTTTGTGTCATATGCCAATCGATTCCGTGATTGGACGGCACTCGCAGCAGGCGATGCTGATAGCGATACCTTCATGCATCTCGATCTAACGCTCCGATTTCCTGCCAATTTCAGTCAACGACCACTATTTATCTCTGTCCAGCCTTCATCGCTGGCAACTCTAAACGAAGGCATCGAAAATATGAAAATACTCTCATCAAGGATGCACAGACAAATGCATTTACCTTGACGTATACTCGTGTTTTGGGTACAAATTACTTCTCCGGTCACTTCTCCTTGTGTTTTGTTGTGTTGTGTCCACGTTAATGGGGAGTGTGGAGCCTGGAATTAAGTCAGCTTGTTGCGCCATACGTCTCGCCTGTCTCTGATTGGGTGGCCAGTATATAGCATTCTTACTACAAAACTACAATGAAATGCAATATGTGCATCTCTCTCTGAAAAACTACTTGAAATACACCGTCCGCCTACTATTTATCTCTTTCCTGCATTCGGGCATGGCTCCGGCCTTTAAAGCCAATGAATATTCCATTGCACTGTAGGCAGAAGGCATAAAGTCGACACATCTTTTGAAGGTATGGGTAAAATATATATATGTGACTTCCTGAACTATTTTTACCTAAAATTTCAAATGCAATTTGTCTAGTTTATTTAATTAGTAGGGAGAAGCACATCCGGACCTAAAACGAGAAGGGATGTGTGAGACGCTTCTTACGCGTCACAACTTTTATATCCGGCACTCAGTCCTACATCTGCACCTTAGCGGTTTTTTTGTCAAATTTTTAATTTATTCTTCATCTGTCATCTAATCAACAACAGTACTCACGCCAACACGTTCCTTTAACTCGCCACCCTCCCCTAGAGCCACACACTGCAGAGTCAGGGCAGAGGCATAGACGCAGCAGAGGCCGAGGCAGAGGCCGCCCACTGCGCGAAGCAGAGTGTGAATGAGAGAATGTGCAAAACACAAATATAAGCTTCGGGACGTAATGGGTTTAGCCACTGCAAATTAATTTCTTCATTGTGGCCATAATAATGATCCAATCGCACCCCAATTTGGTGATCTGATAGATATGGGCATTCCCTACGAAATGGCGTTGGGAGATTTGGGAGGTTTTCGCCCTTTTGCGGGGGCGGAAGGGGGCGAGGCTCATTTTTGAAATACACTGGTTTCAGTGTGAGCATACAGCAGTCCGGAGCCAACATTTGGTGGCTCTAGCTCTTATGGTCTCTGAGAACTAGCCGACAAACGAGACGGACAGACGGACAGACGGACATATAGACATGGCTCAATCTACTCGGCTGCTGCAATATTGAGAGTAGTTTGAGTAAATATCTTACTGCCATATCATCCACACTCTATGTCTGTCGTTTAACCCTGTAAAAATATAACAAAAAGTGGACTACTGTTTCGATCAACACATTTGAGTTGTGTTTTAGCTTTATTTGTATGGTATTTTGAGCTTGATTTTCGACTCTTAGTTTACCTCCAGACGAAGACGAATTGTTCTATATTGCCCAAATTGAATTCATTTTTCCCTATCTCACTTTACATGTCTCTTAATCATTCATTCATACCCATACAAGTACACATGTACATGTACGATGCAGCAGGCATCGAGAAGCGAAGAAGGCGCTGGGAAGCACAGTGAAATAAACGAGGTTGAAATGTCCTCTGCTGCTGGTTTTAATCCTAGTTTTGATGCTGGTTCTGGTCCTGGTTCTGGTCATGATTTATTGCAGAGAATCAAAGCGAGAAACTGTGAACTCTTAACACTTGCCACTCCACTCGCTCCACAATCACATTCAGACAACAAAAAATATAAATTATTAGTTGACAGATGTATGTACATATGTACATACTTATATATCTCTCCAGTGATTTATGCCACACATTCTCCCTGGGATTTGGCATAAATAAAGTGTACTCCTGCATAAACAAGAGCAACAGTTGGAAAAAACAAAACAAGCAAAATAGAAGGCTATACGGAGAATGAGATTCAAATGACTTAACATTTGAATCGCTAAATTTAAAGAGCAAAATAAATGC